TCCCCGGCCCCGGCCCCGGCCCCGGCCCAGCCCGCAGGTACCGGCTGCTCCGGGCTGGGGACGCGCGTCTCCCGGGGCGCCCCGCTCGCTCCCCGGCGGGCTTTGCTGGGCGCCCCCGTCCCCTCCTGCTGCTGCGTGTCAGGGGGGTTCAAGCTGGAGGGTCCTGGCTAGAGGGTCTTGTCCCTCTGCTCAGGTCAGCCCCTCGCCAGGTTTGGGGGCGGGAAGGGATTTTACACCAGGGTCAGACGGGGACATTGCTTTCTTCTGTGGCAGGTGGCTCTGCCTTGGGTAGGGTCGCCAGCCCCTCTGGCATTGCCCAGGGATTCAATCGAAATCTCCAGGAGACGGCTGAGAGGCATCCCGGGAGACAAACGATAGGGCATTTGTGAGAATCGATATTACATTTCGAATCTGATTTATACCGGAGTCTAGTGGGTTTTTCAAATGTAATAGTAATGTGCATTTGCCTTCCTGATGTAAAGTCTATGCTCCGTAATCCGTGGCTGATTAAAGCAAGCACATGGGCACGTTCGTATTGTGTGTCGTGGGTACGCTGGCGCGCTGAAAACCTCCTGGGATAGATTCAGACGGGGTTGGCAACCGGAGCCTGGGTCTCCTGAGTATATATTGCCAGCCTTTTCCAGACGCGGGGGGCTGGCTGGGGTGGTTCCCTGGCTTTACCTGCGCCAGGTTTAGGTGTTAGGTTGGTGTTGTGCCAGGACTGGCAGCAGTACTATGCAGAGTTTACATCAGCTTTTGTCAACGGCTGGGTCAGGACCCAAAAGTGGGTTGCAGGAATAAATGAAAGGGTTGCAAACAAACTTTAAAAATGGATTCTCCTTTACAGGAGAAAAATGTGGGGAACCGTGGCTTTCCCCTTGCAGGCTGGCAGTCTGCAAGGGGCTGCTTGGCCCCCTCTGCCCCACACTCCCCATCCCATACGCTGGGGGCAGCGGGTCGGGAGTGAGAGGTGCTGAATTGGGTCTGGCCAGTGATGTTTACACATGGGTCTTGGTACAAAAAATGTTGAGAATCACTGGTTTAGATGGTCGTTTGTATGGGATGTTTTGGATGGGGCTGATTCTGCCTTAAGCAGGGGGTCGGACTAAATCTGGAGGTCCCTTCCAGCCCGACTTCTCTAGGAGTCTATGAAATTTGTGTATATTGATTTGTTCCTAATTAATGGGATTATTTTTTTTAAAACTGAAAATAATGTTTTAAAGGAGCCTCCAAAGGCAGCACTTTTATCAGAGCATCCTCTGTTTCTGGCTCCTTGCTGGCTTAGTTATCTCATGCTCTCACTTTCCACTGGGTGTAAAATACAATCAAAAAGAAATTTTTGATTAACAGGCAGCCATGTGATTACTGTGGTTGTTCATATGTAAACCAGGAATGATCTAATCAGTACTTTACCTACCTGGACTTAAAAGTGGGAAATTCAAGTTTAAACAGTTATAAAAACAAACAACCCAATTCCAAACAGTTTATGCCTCTAAGGGATGTTTCTGTATCATCACTACAGCTGTTACTCAACATAATTTTCTTTCAATACTTGATTTAATACTTAGGCATGTAAAATTGTAATTTACTTCTTTATGTGGCTTTCAGTGAAAGGTGTTTCTAATGCAGCTGTCACTATAGTATTTAATCCGATAACCGTAAATGTACCCAAGCACCCCTCATTTAATAGGTAGGAGCGGCTTGCAACTAAGGGCAGCTTGAATTTGGAGTTTATGCGGATTTATGTTTCTTCTCTTATTCTTTGCAGTGGGTACTTGCAAGAGCCGGCCCCTGGACCTTGTGTTTATCATAGACAGTTCTCGTAGTGTTCGAGTCGAGGAGTTTGAGAAGGTGAAAATCTTCCTGTCAAAAATGATTGATACTCTGGACGTAGGAGAAAGAGCCACCCGCGTGGCAGTCTTAAACTATGCCAGCACAGTCAACATTGAGTTCCTCCTGCGGACCTTCTTCGACAAAGCCTCCATGAAGGAAGCTGTGTCCCGCATTGAACCCTTGTCTGCCGGCACAATGACTGGCCTAGCCATTCAGACAGCCATGGAAGAAGTCTTCGCTGAAGAAGCAGGGGCTCGGCCAGCTTCTCTCAATATTCCCAAGGTAGCCATCATTGTGACAGACGGGCATCCCCAGGACCAGGTGCAGGAGATAGCAGATAGAGCCCAGGCTTCTGGCATCGAAATCTATGCAGTTGGAGTAGGCCGGGCAGACATCCAGTCCTTGAGGCTGATGGCCAGTGAGCCACTGAATGAACATGTCTCTTATGTGGAGACCTACGATGTGATTGGAAAGTTGACATCCAAATTCAAGGAGACTTTTTGTGGTAAGGTGATTTTCCAAGAAGGAAGTTATGTGCTTGGGTTCTGCTGCTGCCACTCTTCAAGGAAGAAAGAAGTGTTTCTGTCTTCCAAGAAGTGCATTTGTCATATTCACATACTTCATTTAGCACCACCTGGGTAGAAAATTAAGGTCTTTATTCATTGGTGGCCAGACTGAAATCCCTTCCACTGAACAGCAACCTACTGAGCAAGTAACACCATTGATTTCAGTGGGACTGTTTTTGGAGGGAGGCACACTTCAGTGTCAGAAAGGCATTGCCTTCTGAATCTAATTCGACTTCATGTAGTTGGTGACTTGCTGAGCAAATGAACTGGAGTTGCACGTGTACTTTGTTCTTCTTTCTGTGGAGCTGGAAAGGAGGGAGAGAAGGGCAACTGTGTTTAGTAGCTCTTCAGAGCCCAAAAGTAATCATTGTGGAAGAACTGTCACACTGCCTGGAGTGCGTGGGGCATGTCGAGTTGTTAGTAGATAATGGCACTGAGCCAGAACAGTGTCATTTCACTGTGCTGGCACTGCTGTGTGGGAGCAGCTTGTCATACTGGGATCACTTTATGTTTCTTGATAACTTGCTTGGTAAGGTGTTTTTTAGGCTTCTTCTGTGGCTGAAGGCCCTGGCTTGTGAGCCGATAACTAAAAAAGCCTGATAGTTCAAGCCTGTGTGTAGGCAAGTGATCTTAAGTGTCAGTTTATCAAGGGGAGTGATTATTTCCCTATATTCAGCACTGGTGAGGCCACATCTGGAGTAGTGTGTTCAGTTTTGGGTCCCGCTACAGAAAGGATGTGGACAAGCTGGAGAGAGTCCAGCGGGGGGCAACGAAAATGGTGAGGGGGCTGGGGGACATGACTTAAGTTATGAGGAAAGACTGAGGGAATTGGGCTTACTTAGTCTGGAGAAGAGGAGACTGAGAAGGGATTTAATAGCAGCCTTCAGCTAACTCAAAGGTGGTTGAAAGAGGATGGAGCTGGACTGTTCTCAGTGGTGGCAGATGAGAGAACAAGGAGCAATGGTCTTGAGTTGCAGCAAGGGAAGTTTAGGTTAGATATTAGGAAGAATGTTCTCACTAGCAGGGTAGTAAAACACTGGAACAGGTTACCCAGAGAGGTGGTGGACTCTCCGTCCTTGGAGGTTTTTAAGACCTTGCTAAACAAAGCCTTGGCTGGGATGATCTATCTGGGGATGGTCCTGCTTTGAGCAGGGGGTTGGACTAGATGACCTCCTGAGGTCCCTTCCAACCCTCATTTTCTATGATAAGAAAGTAGGTCTCCTGGTCTTAGAGGTTGAAATTCACCCTCTTCACTCTTTTGGAAACGTTCAGAATGCAGAATGTGCATTTGATTTGGGCTTGAAGTGCACCGAGGGCTCTAAAATAGTGAAGTTCATTTGTCTTTGAATACAAATGCCCATTTAGAGGAACAGAATGTTAATTTGGATTTTTGTGTAGGAGGAGTCTCAGCTGAACATAGAAAGAGCAATGCTCCTGCCCCTGTAAGAAGAAAGCTGTGTCTTTCTGACAGTTAGTGATGTCTTATAAAATAGATGTCCTAAGCCCTTACTGGTAAATTTCCGTTAAGATCTATTTTTTACTAAGTATATCTAAAACAATCAGAACGAAGAATACTGAAGAATATTAAACTTCAGCTGATTATGAGGCGATACTGTGGAGAATCTATTATTTGTCTCAGTACCTTCCAAAAATGGAATCAAAGCATAAAACTAAACTACCATCAAAACTTCAAATGTGGGCAGTGAATATAGACATATTTTATTAGTTCATTATAAAAGAAATGTGGAGGACGATTTGCAGTTAGGACACTTTACTCAGTTATTAGTAACTTAGGAAATGCCTTGAGGTTTGGCTTCTTAGTATGCTGAGTTATTGGTGTGATGGCTGAGTTCTGGCTGGTGTCGGGAAATGGGTATAATCCTCTGCAAAATAAACATGCAGACCAGGCTCTCCTGAGGCCCATATAGCCTTCATGCAGAGGTTTGGAGAAATGAGCAGAACAGAGTTGATTAACTTATGCACCCATTAATAATTCTGGGTTTTCTGACATGCACCCAAGTACATTGCAAGCCAGGATTTGGTCTCTAGGACTCATTTGCCAAAGTAGGAGAATCAATTTCTGTTCTCAAAAGACAGGATAACTTGTTCAAAAGGTTGCTAATAGCCAGAGTGACTCTAAGGGACCTTTAAGATGGTAGAAAACAAAATCCTGTTCCATAGCCACAGCCTAGTACTTGGTCAAGGAAAAATTGATATACACAGACAGCAAGCAAACCAAACCAAGCCAAAGTGGCACCATGGGAAACAATATGCTTAATGTTCGAGGACAACGTGGTTGGGCTAAAATCAAATGTTCAGTGCATTGGGAACGTTGTTCAAAACAAAACCACCACTGAGAAGAAAAACCTCTTAGCTTTGTAATGTTGTCTAGGTCAGTGGAAGCTTGGTTTGCCTATACCGCAACACTGGGGGCTAGTTATGTTAGAGCTCTTCATCTTTTAAAAAAAACATAATTTATGGATTTTTATTGAAAGCTAGGCCATTGAGACAAAGCCTCTGGTTTTCAGGGGAATAACAAGACAGAATGATACGTGCTTGGGTTGAGGTTTTTTCAGACCTAATATGGGGACTAGGTACCTCTTCCATCATCCTTGGAAGAAAAGTCTAAGTCCTATAGATGCCTTTAGAAATCTCCAATACCATCTTACTTTCATCAAATGCTATTTTTCTCATTCACTTTTTCTGCTGTTCTCCTCCATTCTGCTTTGGTATTTGACAAAGCTAATTGGCCCCAGGCACTTTATTGTTACCCTGTTAAGTGAACCCTGTCTCAAATAACCATCCTAAAGACTAGCAAGCTGTGGTTGTTTGAGAGATGGTCTTTGGAAGAAGAATGGAAAGCCACAGCTTTGTAAAGGCATGCTGCATAGGCAGCCCCAAAAAAGCTTTTTGCCTATTGTGTCACACTCCAAACTTCTATCCAGTTTGCTGTTCACTAAATCTCTTTTCCTATTACTACCTGCCAGGTGTTCACATGCCTGTTGAGTACTTGCATCCTAGATGATTTTCCCCTGATATATTGGTTTGCTTTTTCATTCCCCTGCTCAAAGGTGAATCTCATTTTGTATTTTGCTGCCCATATGATTCTAAAATGTGTATGTAATGTAGCAACAATAAACCAACTACAGGAACAGCTCTGCCATTGGGAACTTCTTGTGCCTTAATGAATCTCCTGATTGCAAAGTTATGCATTCTAGAGACTTTTCTCCCATCCTGCCCTTCTATAGTTGTCCTTTGGATGTGGCACAGATGGATAATGGCAGCCAGAGGTGCCCATGTTGTAACTGGCTGCAGTTGCTTCTGTACTCCACAAGCTGGAGAATATTCTGCATTCTTGTCATGTTTTTCCCCATTCTTATCCCTGAAGAGGGTAAGATCCCTATTCTCGTAGTCACCCTGCAGTATTTTTCTGTTCTCACTAGTCTCTAACTCTCTCATGTTTTATACCATGTGCATGTATCATTAACTTGCTTCTTGTCTTAGCTTTCAGATATGAAATCATTTGAGATCTCAGTGTGATTAATAGGGTCCTGCAGGAGATAACTCCCTTCACATTGATCTATTGCAGTTTATTGCTATCAGTGTTTGTGGTCTTCCTGCCAGGCTTCATTGCACATGACAGTGGTCTTATTCAGGGCAGTTATGATGGATTTTAGAAACCAGATTCCATGATTGTGGGTAAAACTTAATTAGTTGCTAAACAGATTCAATACATTTATGAAAAAGATAATATGATATGGTAGGAAGGGACTGAACTCAGTGGCCGAAGAGATCCCTTCCAGCCTATGTTCTTGCACACCTCTGTGCTCGTGCACTGACTTATTTTGTATGCCTATCCCTGCCTGCAGTGAGAGACAGGTTCAGTTTAGTGGATGCCTCTCTGTGATGACTACAAATAAATTGCCAAATGGTGTCAGATATTATATTCACATATTTATGAGGTGCATTGTGGAGGAAAATCCCATGAGATCATATATCCAAGTCCAGTGAACAGTTAGCGATGGTTAATCTGTGCCATGTGGTATCCTGCAGGTAATCAGTTTTTTGATTAACTCCTTTAAAATGCCTTTCACAGATGTGGATATGTGTGCACTTGGGACCCATGATTGTGAGCAGGTCTGTGTCAGTACCGATGGCTCCTATACCTGTGACTGCTATGAAGGCTTCACCTTGAATCCAGACAGGAAATCTTGCTCCAGTAAGACGACAGTGCTGGACTGAGTTAAAAAATGTATCTTACTATTTCTGAGTACAGCAAAATTCTCTTTGACTTGTGAAAATGTGCTTCCTCTTTCCTACTTTTTTTCTGCTTGCAGTAAAATTTGAAGCATGAGAACCCTCCCATGCTTCCTTAAAAGCAGCAGCTGAAATAACTCAAGATACTGTTTTGTGTTTGCCTCCCTCTTTTCATTTAAGGACTTCATAATAATTTAATTCTATCAGGATGACTTGAAACAGCACCCAGAAATGGGGTATAACCAGGGATGGATCGGGGGGGATACACTGGTACACTTGCATCCCCCCTGATTCCTGCTCCATCCAAAGTTTAAAACCCACTGCCTGGCAGTGGCAGCAGCATTTCTAGTCAGGCAGTGCTGAGACAGTCAATTGACTTCATGGCTCATTATAATCTAGCTGATCTCTTCTAAACTCTTCTTTCTATAGGTATTAACAACCCCCTCTTCTTTTTAATAGTCTTGATGTTCCACCAATCAGGCTACCCATTCTTCAGCAATTCTGCTGTCTGTTAGCTGCTCCTGGTAATGAAACTCCTATTTCACTGCCCAGCAGATTTTTAAAATTAATTCCAATGAAGTTATATTTGTTTTAGCTTCAATCTTAAATTGAATAATGCAGCCTTAGGCCCTAGTAAAGCTTTTTTAATTGGAGAAAAATGTGTTGTGTTACATATGATGATGCATGCACCTTACCATCCGTACCTCCCTTTGCAAAATTCTAGATCCTCCCATGGGTATATCTAAAGGCCCTTGAAATACTTGGAGTTGGGAGTAGGCACATCACCAGTTCAGCTGTCTACAAGCATCAGGGGTTAGGTGGGGAAGAGCAGGAGTGGTACAGACTTACTGCGACGTTCATTCTCCTCACCTTGATGGGATGGGTATGTTCCAGCCACAGGAGGTTTCTTTAGCCTCAGGGCCCCAAGGCCTGGAGAGAAGAATTTCTTACTAGTGACCATCCCATGTGGAGATAGACCTTGTGCTTCATGGCTGGCTCAGGCAGTGAACTGGTGCAGGGGAAGGTAGGGGAGAAGCAGGGGGAGGACGGAGTTTTGCCTACTGCATATGGTCACAAGGTGCATGACTGGCAGAGCAAAGAATAGAAACATAGAAGCTTGATTCATAGTGCCATGATTTTGGGGTGGGTCCCGTCCACAAGCAGGGGAGAAAGAACTCAGGTATTATTGAGCCTTGTAGTGCTGAATGTTTAAACGCCTTTTCCACTAGTACAATCTACAGCCCCAAATTGGGCACCTCTTTACCATGCATGGGAAGAAATAAATGTTTAGGAATGGCACCCACAAAACCCAGTGTTGTTAGCAAGGATTCACCTAATCTAGTCAATGGGAGATAGCAAAGACAGGGGCATAAGCCCTACCCTTCCCAGAGTGTTAGGTGCCTGACTCCAGGCTGCAAGCTGCTTCCCTCATATGGACCTTCTCCTAGAGCCAGCCCTTAATCATTCCTGCTGGGCTTGCTATCTTTCTGCTTCCCATACCCTTTGCCCAATAGCTCAGAGGTTAAAGTACTTCTAACTGTGATAGGTTTGATCACTTCAATGAATACTTTCTCACTTCTGATTACGAAAGGGTCATCACTAATGCTGTATGTTCTAATATCTACTTGTGCTGTGGACACTGGATAGAAAGTTTTTTCTCTTACAAATCCTAGTCCAGCAAACAGCCACTGAATGGATAATATACAATATTCAGCCCTGGTTTCAATCATAATGGAAAAATACTTTTAAATGTGAAATGTTACAAGATGTATACAACCTTGGTAGTGACTTGTTCTGTAAAACACCTATGACAGGGGTTGATGCATGTGGACTCGGAACCCATGACTGCGAGCAGCTCTGTGTGAATGCTGATGGGTCCTTCAGATGTGACTGCTACGAAGGCTACACCTTGAATCCAGACAGGAAAACTTGCTCCAGTAAGAATGGGATGTGTTCAGCTGAAAGAAGTCTCTCTCTCTCTCTCTCTAATGGGTTATTTTTTCTGGTTCTGTTTGGGAAACTGCTAGTCAGCATCTATTAAAGTCTTAAAAGCAATAACCCTCTTCCATCTCCTCCCTATTTCTACTAACATTGTGAGAAGTATGTTCCTTCTAAAACTTTTTAAAGATGCAATAATGTCAATAACTGGGAGCTGGCACGTGATGCAGAACAAATCCCACTTTAAACAATCCCAGCAGCAGGAAGCAATATTTTCATTATGCAGCAAATTAACTTACTCTATTACAGTGAACACCCTCTCTTAATGAAATTTTCTTCTAGTCCCTATGGGTTCATTATAATGATGCTGTAGCATATCTGAAGACTCCATGGTAATGTACATGCCAGATATGAACTGTAAGACTCCTATGATTTACAGGGCAATATGTAGTATGGGAGGTTGGCAGGCTATGCACAATGCTGCATGAAGATTAGCTGCAGACCAAGCCTCAGAGCTGGGAATGGGGCTGGAAGATCACCTACACTGTGCATCTCCAGACCTCCATTTTCCATTCCTTTGTGAACTGCACATAGCCATAGCGAATCAGTGTCAGGGTAAAAAAAACAAAACCCAAACAACTAGGGGTCAAATCCGGTTTCACTTAAAGGTGGCCAAGTGCTGCTTGCATGTCTATGTATATGGGTACAGAAGTGTTGCCAGTAAAGGCAAAATGTCAGCATTTTTCATGATGTGATCGCTCAGCAAAAATATCTCGGTATTACACATTTAGTCCAACTGCACAGCCAACATGAGTTGTGTAGGGCCCTGGTTTGATCCTAGTGGAAATATATTTAGAAATGTGCAATGTTAAAAGGTAGACAGCTTTGGCAGTGACTGTGTGCTTCCTCTGTACAATGCCTCTGACAGGAGTGGATGTATGTGCACTTGGAACCCACGACTGTGAGCAGCTCTGTGTGAATGCAAACGGGTCCTTCAGATGCGACTGCTATGAAGGCTACACCTTGAATCCAGATAAGAAAACTTGCTCCAGTAAGAATTGAATCTTGGTTTAGTAAATGCATTCAGGAGAAAAATATTTCTCTTTACTCTATTAAGTTATATAGTTATCTTTGGGACGCTCCCTGCTAACTTTTGTTCAGTTTTTAAAGGCAATAATCTTCTTTACCTTTTTTCCTTTTTCTAGTAATGCTTTGACATGTAACACATGACCTCTCCAAACTCTTTTAAATGTAGTAACCAATAACCACAAATACTGTTTGATACCTACCTAGTGCTTCACATCTATTGGGCCCTGGGTTATTGTAAACTCATTAGATATAAATAGCAAGCGCTTCCTGACTTGTGGAAGGAGTGAAGTAGATATTGTTTTTGGGGGCTGGGAGGCCATACACATTCTCTGTGGCATAGAGTTAGTGGCACATCAGCACATAGGGGATGGCATGTGGAAGGACACAGCTGGTGTTGGGAGATCTACTCTGTGAATTGCCACTCCTGTGTTAACTGCACGTGATCAAGCTGTATCAGAGTAAAGTGGTGCCTCTCTCCTTCTCTTTGGATATGATTACAAAAGAGTTCCCAATTAGTGCCTGATGTCATAACAGCTTTTTGTGGTGTGTACACTGAATAGGAATTTAGTCATCCCATATCCTAGTCCCGAAAACAATCATTGCATGGTGACCATGTGTAATGGGGCTTCCTAGTTTCACTCCTATTGGTAACCTGTTTGTAAATATGAAGTGTTAAAACAGTATAACTGTTTGGGGAGGAATAGTATGCTCCCTGTGTGTATAATGTGTATATAAAATGCTTGCAATAGGACCAAATATATGTGCGCTTGGAACCCACGATTGCCAGCAGATCTGTCTGAATATTGATGGGTCCTACAGATGTGACTGCTATGACGGCTACACCTTGAATTCAGATCGGAAAACTTGCTCCAGTAAGAACTGAATGTATCCTGCTCTAAAAAGTCCCTCTCCTTTATGCTTTATTTTTTTTGGTTTGTTTTGAGAAACTACCTGGAAGCTTATGTTTATCTCCTGTAAGTATAATCCCAGTTTACTTATTTCTCCCTTCTTCAGGTAAGAATTGGAGACACATAAGCCGTCCATTTTCTGTTCTAGAACAGTATCTACAATTGTTAGAAATACTAGTCAGGAATGATCCTGTCTGAAGCAAGGGGTTGGTGTACTTTTCTATGGGTCTACATGTAATACCTCATGTTATACAAGTCAACATATAACAACAGTTATTACTTGTAACACTCCTCAGACTTGGAAATAACTGAAGACAATAGTTATGGATTAGAAGGCCATGTGCATCATTGTGGCATGGAGTTTAGCCACCCTTATCTCATATCCTAGCCCACCAAACAACTATTGCATGGTGGTGGTGGTTGTTATTATTAATTAAATAATTAATCCCACCCTATCCAGAAAGGCAAGCAAGCTTGTGGTTTGGGTCTTAACAGAAACACAATGAAGTATTAAAGAAGCTTAAATTATATTCAATCAATGCAAGTTCTCCTTCTGTAGGAGTGGATGTGTGTGCACAGGGAACCCATGACTGCCAGCAAGTCTGTGTGAATACTGATGGTTCCTACAGCTGTGACTGCTACGAAGGCTTTACCTTGAATCTGGATAAGAAAACATGCTCTAGTAAGAAAACAGTGCATTTTTTTCAGCTGAATGCATTTCTTGAAGTATTTTTGCTTTTTGGGATGCTACCCACAAAGCTCTTTGAAACTTATGAAACTATAGTCTCTTTTTGCCATCTTATCTCTGCTTTCATTAACAATTGCAACCATGTGACCCTTCACATAGTTCTTTTAATGCATTAATTAAAACAATTGTTACACCATATGGGAATTAACTAGCATGTTATAGCTAAGGACCTCATTATAATTTACAAACCTCAGGTATGAAGTGCAACACTTCATGAAGTGTGGAATAACTGAGGAATAAGCACTGTTCAGGTACAGGGTGACCATAATAATTTGAAGGAAATCCAAGATGCGAGTGGAGAGGAGGCACCAGAGGGTACGGGTTTGACAGCGCAGCACATGCAGATACACACATGCACACAACCTGCCCCCAAGTTGGGCAGGAGACGCGCACAATACACACACATCGACCCTGCAGCTCTCAGGAGTGGGGCTGGGCAATGACCTTGCAGCTCCTCATCTGTCCCCCCAGAGCCAGGGCGGGTTGTGGAACCCTCAAAGCCTGAGTGGCTTGTCTAGGGGGGCTCCTGCCCCCCTGTGCACCCTTGCAGAGGCATGGTAGGCATGTGCCCCCAGATCTGTGTGAGGGGTGGAGGTGGGCTGCTGCTGCGGGCTGGGCTCTGCGTCCTGCTGCTGCTGCCCCGGGAGTGGCGCAATGCCATGTGTGTCCTGCTGCCGGGTGGGCAGATGGTGTGGCACAGCCCAGCAGTGGCAGGCACATGGTGCCACTCCCAGAGCAGCAGCAGTGGGGCACAGAGCCCAGCGCGCCATGGCAGCCTGCCTCTGCCCTGCACACAGATTCTGGGGGCATGTGCCTGCTGTGCCTCTGCTGGGATACAACACTGCAGCAGAGCCCCCCCATGCCCCTGGATGAGCCGCCTGGGCTCCGAGTGTCCCATGACCCACCCCAGGGCCACATTCACCCCAGCTCCTGCCCCTGCCTCTTTCCCACTCCCTCCCTCACTGCAGGGGGCCTCGATCTGCCTGCCCACGCCTCTTCTCCACGACAGACTTACCTGTTGTGGCAGGCAGTACTCCATCCTGAAGCTGCAGGATGCGGCTGTGTGTCTGTCTGTGTGTGCCCCCACCACAGCTGCAGCCACCTGGAGCCCACACCTGGGGCTGCTCTGCGGTCCTCTGCACTGCCACCACTGCCCTGCATTTGTGGGGGCATAAGTCCCATTATCCCCGGCCTTCCGCTGCCTATGACTATGGAGATAGGATTGAAGAGAGAGAGCCATCAATTTTTTTTTCTTATCAGTGTGGTCAGATCAGTGTAGCCTTATCAAGGGTATTATCATGGGCTTAAGTGAAGAAAATATTAGGCAAATGAAAAGGATATAATGGAAGAAAGGATGGCATAAACTAGGAAGGGATACCAAGGCTAAGGGTTACATGAGTGAGCAGTTGTGTTCACATTGGCCAGTTCCATATTTTAATTTGCTTTTAGTTATGGTGTATATTGGGATGCCTTGGAATAAGTCTGAGGTATAGGTGTGTTCTGACAAGTAAGCTTGGAGAAGATATTCTGAGGCTGTATGATGCATAGCTGGGAAGAGGAGGATGATGTGGAAAAAACAGGGAGCTGAGGAACACAGGCAAGCAAACTGAGCTGGCAAGCTACAAGGCACAGAAGGGAAGATACTCTAGGATGGGAATTATTCTAACGAGCTGGTCTTAGTTCTTTTAATTAAAATGACTGAAGAGTTAAATTGGTTGAAAGCAATTTATACAGCAATGAGCTGACTAATTACTTCCCTGTAGCATTAAAAGAATAGGAGAAACAGGACACAAAACCTCTGCATTCCCTGAGATGGTAAATAGAAATAGCAAAGCATGACATCCGTGAAGGTAGCTAAATAAACTCCTGCAAAAAAACATCAAAATTTTGTGGATCTTGGACATCCCACAAGGGTGAAGTAAGTTTAAATGAAATGCAAATATACAGCAAGAGAACATTTTATATGGCTTATACAGTTTCTTAAAGGCAACTGATATGCCTAGGATCTGCAAAAATCAATTATCTCAGTATCCAGAAGAAGGCATGCTAGATTTCACCTCTGGAGATGAGCTGCAGAAGGTGTCAGGGTGTACTTGGAGCAAGGCCACGTGAGAAGCACTTGGCCGAAAAGGACCTAATTCAAGGAAAGTTTGCATTTGTCTGCTGGAGAATTTTAATGCAAATATGAAACTTCACTGGCAGTCAGTTGGAAACCAACCATGTTGGTGTGATATTTTGAACTGACTTTTTTTCCAGCTAAAGTCTGAATAGCTGTTCTTTGTATGTTGGCCATCAAGCTAATGGAATGTTCCGAATAAGGTAGCTGAACAAATATAAGTTCAGTGGAGTCAAGGAGACACCAGTCTCAACATCGGCTCCAAAGCAAATTAATTTTTACCATTTTAAAAATGAATCCATTTAAAAATGAATCCATCCACTCTTAAAGTCTAGTGCAACTCTGAATGGACATTAGGAGGTAAATATAAACCCTCTGCTGCTGAGATTTAGGCAACTACCAACTCGCTTGCAATTTAGAAGACAAACTAATGTGGATTTTCAAATAGTATGTCTTTATACTAGATTGTAAAATCCTTGGGACATGTTTTTACATTGCTAAGCATATTGATGCACTCTCTAAGCATATTGGAATGAACTTGTGTCCACATCTTTTAAATAACCATGAACAATTTTTTTGTGTGCTCTTAGATATCTTTGTGACCAACGCTTTAGCTCAACAATGTTTACAAGATATAGCTTGTTAGCTATTTAAGTTAATTTGGATTTCCAGCTGCCTCCTTACCATTTTAAAACAGATACATGTCTAAATAATTTTTATATAGCTCAGCTTTAGCCCTTCCCTGTCCCTGGTCACATTCTGTAAGTTTTGATACTCCCAATTTGTTTTTAACAGGAAAGAACATGAGACTTTACAAAACTAGATTTCTAAACCTTGCAGTATTACAAATATTTCATAGTTCCTTTAAAGTAATGCTAATAAAACATCTTTATTCAGATTGAAATATTTCCAGCAGTGCTTGCAACCTAAATACTGTAGTCTTCCATTAGTTTAAAATTGCCTGAGAAACCAACTTGTTTATTGTCTTTGTCTCTGAGTAAACTACAAAATAACAGCACAAAAGGGGAAAGTAAATCACAATTTAAATGCTCTTGACGGCTTTAAAGCATTTTGGGTAGAGACAAGCAAACAAATCCAACTGACAACTAGAGGGAGAGTTACCAGGTGTCAGCTGAGTACTGGTAATTGTTTTGTGTATCCATTCCTATCCCTTGGTTAGTAAAATCTAATCCTGAATGAAACAAGGCTAAATTTCTGCAGCTTAACATCCACTTATTGTGGAATAGGAAGGGAGACACAAAACAGTTACAATGGGGCAGCAGTAAGATGACATGCGGTAAGATCCCCTCCCTCCTTTTTAACCCTGCATAATTTGTCTGTCTGTTCATATCTAAAGTGATTGTTTCAAATGATCTTTAACTCCCAAGATTCCTTGAGGTTCCCAGGCAGTAGTTTACCAAAGGGGAGGTGGGGTTTGCAAGTAGGGCATAAGCCCTCAAAGGCACCTTAGGAAGGGTACAAAAATAGCAGCCCATAGCAGTCCTGCTATGCAGGACACAATTGTGTTATGCCTCTATTCCCAAGAATCATAAAGACCAGAACTACTTTAACCATTGTTTCTCTCCTAGGAGTGACATCCAGCAGTCTGCTCACAACTGAAGAATCATGTAAGTGCGAAGCTGTGATTACATTCCAAAACACAATCACCTCATTCCTGGAGACACTATCCACAAAACATATCCTTTTATTCCACATTATCTTTTCAATTGCTACTATTTTAGATAGTTCTTGAATCATTTTTTTCTATAAATCAATGGGGGAATGAACTTCAAAGCAGATAGATTTTTTTTTCAATGAGGTTTTTGAAAGTGTTGAGTTGAACAATGGACTTTTTGAATACAACTGCAAGTTACAATGTCTATATTTCAGTATTCATGACAAGAAATTAGATATAAAATAACTTAATCAATGCTATTTAGGCCTATTCTCTAACTTTATATATTCAACTAATGTATCATCTATCTCTGATATATGCCAGCTCTGATCACTTGTAATTTTTATACACTAAAAATAATATGTTTACAGTACAATAATACATATCCAGATTTATCTCTCCCAGCACTGTAAAGTAATTACTGCTTACAGTTGCGACAGGTTGATCAGTTACAATAATTCTGCACCTTCAAAATACCACTGAATATTATGATCATAAATATCTGATGAAAAAAACATTCACTGTCAGTTCACTTTAGGGCTTTTTCTTTGAGGAATGCGTTGTTGATCCAAATTATTCTGGATTTCTTTCTTTTTTTTTAAATAAGTACAGAGTTATATGAGACATTTAACTAACATGGGAGGAAGATAAATTAAGGTATTGAATTTTGTGGCACAATAATTAGCACCTGCCTAGGTAAGTATTGGTAGAAACAGAGGCAGATCTGGGAGGGGGAAGCAGGGGAACGTGGCTGAAACTTCTTCCCCTCAACATTTTGGAGTGGACTGCATCATGGGAGCTTCTGGGAACTATTTTAAAGTTCCCAAAGTACACAAGAATTGTCCCCCTCTTTCCCCTTTCTGTGCTCAAAGGCACCTCCCCTGCCTGCTGCTGCTGCTTTTCACTGTTCAGGCTGAAGGAACCTTTAAGGCAGCACATGTCTGCTCCAGTGTGGCTGCACAGGGATTGGACTCAGTTGGAAACCCTGCAGCAGTGACGATGGGCAGGAGGAGGGTGAATTCCCCCAACCTGCCCAGTCTCCTGAGAGCAGGATCAGTGCGGGGCGAGTCCCCCTGCTCACGTCCACTGCTGCTGTCGCCACTGAGCACAGCCCCTGTGCAGCCCAGGTGGAGCGGGCAGGAGCAGCTTTGAAGCTTCCCCCTGCCCTGGGATAGTGGGAAAAGCAGCAGCAGCAGGCAAGAGAGGGGCACGCCTTTGAGCATGGAGGAGAAGTGTGGGATTCTTACCTCCTTTGGGAGCTTTAAAAAAAGTCCCCAGAGACTCTGGTGGAGCTATCTGTTCACAATGGGGAGGCAGCAAGAGAGTGCAGCCACCTCTGTAGCCTGGACTGCTCCTACACTTCCCTCTACCAAATATTGAATCTGCTCCTGCGAAGAAGGTATAAAAAATCCAGCATCTGAAAGCTGAGGATGGGCAACTCAGCAAAAGTAATTAAACACTGGAACAATTTACCTAGAGTTGTGATGAATTCTTCATTACCAGAAATTTAAAACCAAACCTGGTTTAGTTTCAAATAGAAATTGTTAGGGAAATCCTATGGCATGTGATATGCTTGTATTAGGAGGTGAGACTGGATGATTAAAATAGTTTTTTCTGGATTTATAATCTATGAAAAGTAGGAGCACATAGCTCCCAGGCAGCAGAGGGTCCAGTTGCTGCCTGGCTGAGCTCTGATTTCCATACCTCCCAGCCCTGAGGAGATGGACCGGGCCAGTCCTGATCTCCGCTGTGGCTGGGAGGCCACAGAGATGGGACAGCTCCCTGCCCCTTCCCCCCCCTCAGAGATTAGGACTAGCCCCTATGTCCCCTGTCAGCCCCAGGCTAGCACCTAGGGGAACCTGGTGCTCCTCCTGGCTGCTGCAATGGGGCAGAGCAGAGCAGGAGCAGCCCTGAACTGAACTGCTCCCATTGGGAGCAAATTTGCTCCCAATGGGCACCTGTTCAGATGTGTGCCTGGGTGCAGTTTAATGCACCTGATTTTTTTCTGTGCAGAAAATTCAGGCATATTAATTCCACATGTAGATGTGCCCAATGGGAAGCTCCTCCACTGAAAAAATACATGGAGTTCTATTTGTCTACATTGGAAGAGTGTAGGGCCACGTCATAGTGGAATTTGATCCTGCAGTTCCAGGTAATTTAGGTAATTCAAATGCAAGGCCAAAATTACTCAGTAACTTCACTCAAATGAAGTGATAGCCTGCACATCAGAGAATAATCTCTCACCACGGTGTTAATGTAAAAACAAAAAAGGTAAGGCTGTGGGTAATGAATATGCTTAATTGCAGATAGCTAATGTTGTTTCTCAAGGTTATTAGAAGTCATCCAGCTTTCATCTTTGACTTGCTGTGAAAAGAGACCTGATCATCAGCTCTTCAGTTGTATTACAATTATACAAGCCTTTGTCAATCTGGCATCAAAAGGATATATTCATTTAAAACACAGCCATGTAACTGTGCATAAATATGCTGAACTTGGTAGAAGCTGATTTTAGCCATTAATTATATTTTCCTTAACAATGCCCACTAGATGAAATGTCTGACAAATTACAAACATATCAGTATGGACAGGAGCTTGTGTAGAGCTACCATTTTTGCTTCATTTAAAACTGTCTTTTTTTTATTGTACTAAGCAAGTTTGAATATGGTGCATGGCTTAAGACATGACAGTTGGTTTGGTGTGACTGTTCAGATACCAAGCAAGACCTTTATAGGAAGGCAAATGTTTCTGTGATATAATCCGTGTCCCATAAAGTTACTAGTGCATGATCACTATATAATCAGAATGTTATGATGCTACAAAAAGAGATCAGTCGTATTCCAGTTTGTACTATAACAGTTGTAGGATGAATTATTTTTTACGCCCTATTTAAGAGTAAACAAGGAATAAAAAAATAGAAAAATTTGTATAATATTGAAGATATATAATATATCATCAAACGATGTAAACTGTGAAATGGCTTAATGATGTAGAATGATAATTTAATGTCTACAAACCTGTCCATTAAATGGGACAGTAATTCTGGATCTTGTAACTTTTTATTTTAATAAAATAAAGTAACAGCACAGTAAATGTTGGGAGCATTTTCTTTTATAAAATTCAGAGAGTGTTTTATAAACCAAGAGTACTTAATACGCACAAACCAGAATCTACAATTAAATTATAAATAAAGCAGATGGGAGGGGGGCGGGAATCAAAAGATGTAATCATAGAGATGGAGGGCTGGAAGGGACCTTCAGAAGTCATCTAGTCCAACCCCCTGCGTGAGGTAGGATCTTCCCAATCCAAACCAGCCCATACAAACTATAATCTAAACTCTACATAAATCTACCCTCAACCCTGGCACAACACAAACATAACACCCTAACCTGCCACAGGTCAAGCAGAGGAACCATGGCTGCTAACATCCTGCTTCTATGAAATGTCAATATATGCTCAAGAGGGCCTGGGTAGAGGGCCATGCCCCCTGCCACAAAGGAAGGCAAAACCCTCACACTGCATACCAACGTGACCATGGGGTGAAATACCTGCTTGATCCCAAATCTGGTGATGAGTCCAACACGCAAGACTCTCTAGCCAGGAACCTCTGGCTGTGGTCCCTGCAAAAGCATTGGCACACCCCAGTCAAACTCCCCAGCCTTGGCTGTAGCCAACACCCAATGCCTTTGAGGAAAGCTTAAAAATATCCTCGGAACATCTACACGTGCGGCTAATGCGCAGTAGTCTATTCTACTGCGCATTAAAATGGCACATAAAAAACCTTGCTAATATGCTAATATGTAGAATAGTGCATTGACACCTAAAAAGCATGTGCTTATGCCACTGCACATTAGTGCAGTCTAATGTGCATTTATTTAGTATCTCATATTAGAGGTACTAAATTTAATGCGCATTAGGAAAAGCACATGAATGCATGTGTAGATGTGTCCCCTGTAGCAGAAGGTGGGGGGACAGTGTCACGGAGAAAAAAAATTGAGTCCATCCTCAGCAATTTTATTGATCTGTGGGACAGATCCTAATGAACTCAGGAAGGTAGGTAACAGGCTTAACTGCCATTTCAGAGGTAATGGACAGTAGTGTTAAGAGTGACCCCAAAGCAGTGATAGTTCAGCAATTATGTAAGAGGCAAGGCTTTTTTGGGGGGTGAGATCTTCTTTTGAACCCGCTGCGGGGCTGGGAGGCAGACAAGCATCTGAACACAAGGAAGAATGCGGTTCCCTGGCAAGCCTGGTGCACCTGACCCCAGCCACGCGGCGACTCCAAGAGAAGAAACAGCTCTGAGAAAACCCCTGGCCCGTGTGCGCAACGCTAGTCCTTCGGTTGGGCTGGTGCCGCCGAATACCAGGATGCTGGTGTTCACTCGAGAAATACAGAAATCTTGAATTCTTGGATCAGAGATGATACTGATTAAACCAACTGGCAGAGAAGGGTTTGGGGGTCAATCCCATGCCTTGTGTTAGACCACATGACAGACCAGGGTTTGGGTGGGGGTCAACCCCATATCTTGTATTAGACCAAATGGCAGACCAGGGCTTGGGGGTCAATCCGGTATCTCGTATTAGAGCAACTCACACCGGGTCAGGGGCCGGAGCCGGCACTTATTTACTCCAGGGCTCACGCCCGGGGCGGGGAAGGCGATCCCCTGCTGAGCGACGGACCCCGACCCCCTAAGTCCAGGGAGGCTGGAAGGTGCTGACGTAAGGTGGACAGCGCGCGCACTCGCACCAACCCTGCTCCACTCTTCCCAATGGGGGCCAGAACTCGCGCCACGCCCCGGAAGTGGTGCCACGTGCTTCCGGCCGCGAGCGGCTGTTGCCGGGGCAACTTGGTTGCCAAGGAGGCGGCGGTGCCATGTTCATCTACCTGAGCAAGAAGGTGAGGGGAGGGTGGGGGGCTCGGGGCCGAGTCGGGCCCGTGTGAGGTTGGGCGCGGCCCTCGGCCCCCGTGTTAGCATCCCGGCGTGGGGCCGCGGGGGGCCAAAACACGGAGCACGCGTGGTTTTTAGGGTGGAGGCGTTTTCAAAAAATAAAAGTGGTTGTGAAGCCCCCCGTGGATTTCTTTTCCAGATCGCGATTCCCGGGAACATTCGGCTGCGATGCATCTCCTGGAACAAGGACCAAGGCTTCATAGCCTGCGGCGGAGAAGAAGGGCTGCTGAAAGTTTTAAAACTCGAAGCGCAGGCGGGTACGGGAGGTTTTTCTTTCCGAAAACCCGGCGTCTGCTGACGCTGGGAGGGCAGGGGCTGGGGAGCAGGAGCTGCTGCAGTGCAGCTCTGGCTGTGTGTACGCACGCAGTTGGACCGGCCTAGCGAAAAGATGTCGTGTTGACCGTGTAATTTAATTCAGGCCGTTGCTGATCAACATCGCATTTAGAGACAAATAGAATGAATTTATTTCTGTTCGGGGCTATGGGGTGTCGGTTGCAGCCGTGTTGGTCTCAGGACACAGGCAGACAAGGTTCTTTGGGTGAATCTGGTATCTTTTATTACACCAACGTAAACAGTTGGAAAAAAAATAATTTAAAAACTCTTCGTCAGGCTGAGGAAGGCTCTGCGGCTTTCTGCTCTGTGGGAATCCTGGGCTAGGCCAGTGGTTCTCAACCTTTTTTGTCCCAGGACCCATTTGTAAATATAGATGGCTGGTCCTGACCCAGCGCCCCTCACTCCTGCCCCCGCGGTATGTGGGGGAGGGAGTCCCAAGCAGCCCCTTGCAGGCTGGAACTCTTCTAGCCTGCAGGGGAAAGCCACGGTGTCCTACGTTTTTGTGCTTTAAAAGATAATCCATTTTTTAAGCTTGTTTTAATGTTCGCAGCCCTTTCATCTATTCTTGTGATCTGCTTTTGAGGTTGAGAAATGCTGATCTAGACCAAGGCTGTTCAACTCCCTACCCCCAGCCCCCTTCTCTGCATCCTAGGCAGTCACTGTCACATGCCCTCCCCCTCACCAGCTGCTCGGGAGCCTCCTGTCCCCAACTGTGTGGGCTGCCCTGCTGGTACTTTTGCTCCCAGCTTTCCTGTGCCATGCAGCAGCAGGAGAGGTAGCTGCAGAGGCCCACAGACTACATGCTGGCCCCTTGGCTGCATGCGGTTCATGGGCTAGTAGTTGGACAACCCTGATGTAGATCTTAGGGCATAAACTGTGGGTGGGATTTGTCGGTTCCAAGTGGTGTGGGAGCAGAAGTCCCACTGGCAGTCAGTATTATCTTCTATTTCCAAGGTAAGGTAATACTTAAATAGCAATGCGGAGTAGCAGTCAGTGTTCATTTGGATCAACTCTCAGTGAATTCTCTGAAACAACTTGGAAATCTAGTTGGTTTCATAAAGGATATCACCTCTACCCCGAGTCCTGATTCCTTTTGCCTCTAGACCAAAATGGCTGCAATCTGGATACCTGAAACAACCTGGGAATTCATCTGAAGTTTATTCACTTTTATTAGGTACCAGCCAAACACATTGTGCTCCTAAATAATTAGGGTACTTGTGAAATATATCCCTTTTGTCTCTATTCACGTTCTGTAGCAGTGCAGTTCTGTATATGTGACGATGCTTAATGCATAATCATCTGAAAAGTAAATTCATTTTAAAATGAACTATCAGCTGGTTTAATAAATTTGACCCCAATCCAGGTTCTTTTTGAGATGAATGAATACTGACTCCAGACCAGCCCACTGTTGTTTATATCTGAACTAGACGTAAAGAATAAAGATTAGGTAGGCACGTATGTGGAAGTCATTGTAGAATGTGAGAAACAAAGAAAAGGGGGATGGGCAAGAAAGAGTAGCAAATGTCAGATGTAACAGTGCTCTTAAATGTGAGATTATTTTATGAGTGATGCTGAAGACATTCATTTTTGACACTACTATAGTATAACAAATATCCTTAACACACAAGAGCCATAGTTTGTCCTGGATCTTTGTGTAAACTTCCTGTTGATGTCTGTGGGAGTTCTGCTGAGGTATCACTGGCCTACTGATTATAATTAATAATGGAGTTCATCCTTTTCCCCCCATCTGCAGCATCTCATCCTGTAATAGGAGGTTTTGTCACGTATGTGTTTGCCCTAAACTTTGCTTTAGTTACCACTGGGAAATTTCATTTTGTGAAAAACAGAACTACCTTCTAACATGCCATTCTTTCATGGAGTATTTTCCTCACTTTAGCTCCATAGTATAGACTTGTTTTCAGTTAGTTTCTCAATTTTTTCCTTAGTATCTTGGTACTGTTTGTCAATTTCATGTTGCTAATAAGTGTGTGCTTTATTGCACATACACTTAAAGAGCAAATTATGTGCATTTTACAACTTAAGTAAATTTTAGGACAGTAAAGTATGTCTTTTTTTTTTTTGAACATGCTGAAATTGAGCAAAGGGAGATGGCAGTGGTTTCTAAGGGGTCTTCTGGATCTTGATGAGCATCAGAGCTTGGGAGGGATGCAGAATAGCAAACAAACAACAATCAGTAGATACAGAATATGTGTATGTTTCTTTAAAGGGCCACTTATTTCCAAACTTTCAGGTATAAGCAGTCTTATTAAAACCAGTGGGATTAATCATGTGATTTAAGTCTTAAATCTGTTTTGAGACCAAACAACAAATTGCTGTGTTTTACGAACAATTCATATAATTTTTTATAATTCTTATATTTTAATTTTTTTTTTTTTTTAGATGAAGCAAAACTAAAGGGTCTTGCAGCTCCTAGCAATCTTTCTATGAATCAGACCTTGGAAGGTCACAGTGGTAAGAGTCAGTTGTGTTGCACTATCATCCTGGTTTGAAAACTAGGACATCTAATGCTTCGAGAAACAGTGTAAGCTGCTGATATTCTATTGTGAAACTAGTAAGACGATTTTCTTTTATATAACTGGGTTTATTTGTATTGCATACCTAGATATAAAATCACTGAATGTTTCGTGGTTTTGGTCTGTGAGCCAAATTCAGTTTTTGGCGCTTATGCAGTTTTCATTGAGGCTGTGCTCTGGCTGGGCAGGAGGACAGAAAAATAGGATCATCTAGGTATATGCATAAAGCTGTGAAAGTCCTGACATTTTAGCTGGGCAAAAACCCTAACAGGGAGGGGAATTTACAGTTGGTTCAATAAAGATATTACCAAACAAACCTTGCTTGTCTGAAGAAGAGTATTTTTTCCTAGTCACAAAAAAGGGAGTGGCTGAAAATGATAACAGAGTGAATTGCTGGAGTTTCTAGGAAACGTTGACAAATTATTAAAAAAGGATCTTGTAATCTTTATTTTCAGTATTATTTTGGGAGTTGTATAAAATGTGAATTTTATACAATTTTCTAGGTTCTGTGCAGGTGGTGACCTGGAATGAACAGTATCAGAAACTAACTACCAGCGATCAAAATGGCCTCATCATTGTTTGGATGCTGTATAAAGGTACCATATGGGATAAGCCTGGGTAATTTAAGGTAGTTCAAACATGTGCTGCGTAAACCACATTGAACTGAAACCTTATTAGCTTTGCTCAGTGGTCAGTTGGACATACTTACTATTTTATTTCCTGAGAAGAAGAAGGGCTGTAGAACTGTGCAGAGGGTCAGAATTTACTGATTTAGGCTCAATGTTGAATATTAATATTGAATAATTAGGTATGCTATGACAGTTAATGCAGGCAAAAAAGCCATATTGGTAAAAGTTTTGGTGTAGTCATTCTGTTTAGAGCAAGAAAGTTTTGAATAAGTTTATCTTAGAAATTATATCACAAATTCAGTATGCTAGTATAGCAAGCGTATCATATAAATGCCTTTTGCATTATTTTTTTGACCTTTTCAAAACATGTTTCAGTGAATTTAAACTCAGTTGAAGGAGCTGAGCAATTATCACAAGTGGGCCTGCCAAAATGAATCAGGAGAGGGAGAGAGAGAGACTTTCAGTTCACTATTCTTCCCGTGCCAGATCAAGTGGATTACTTCACTTTGCCTAGGGTCATGATGACTGAATTACATAAGTTAGTACTAGAAAAGAACCATGCCATCATTTAGGGGTAGATCCAAATTAGTTCCATAAGTATCTAAATGGAACACAAGCAGGATTTACTTGCAAAATAGAAATTCCAAATAATACTGCCTCAGCAGCCACAAAACTTGGTAGACACCTAAATTTATTAAGTGGTTTCATTTTGGATTGCAGGGATCCCTGGGCTAACAACTTGGCTTCTGCACTTTCTCAGATGCAATTTTGTTTGAGCACCTCAGCACTATTGTAGTCCACACTGATGCCTTCCCAGAACTAAAATCCCCCCTCAGTATTTCTTAAGATGGTTTCATCAAACTTTTACAAAAGGGAAACTGTAATGACACCTTTTCTATTTTATGCAAAGCCCGGTGCTAATTTAGACTTTTTTTGCTGCCTTATTACATTGGAATGCCACATCTGATTTGCTGTCTGGTGTCATGCCAGGTCTCTTTCTGCTTTATTACTTAGAAGCTTTATTTCTTTTTGCTGAATGCATGTTTCATATGATGCAACACTAATTTTATTTCCTTTTCATTTGATTTCTCTCTGAGTCTTTGTAATCTTTCTTCTTTTTGTGTTTTTAACATGTCAGGAGGTTAGTAGCATTTGTGAATATCATTGTGCAGTTTGTAGATTTTTTTTTCACATTTGAGATTTAATAATCAACACATCTGAGTTTATACTGTGTTCACTTAAAGGATTTTAAGATGAAAGGTACAATTGAATTTCCTTTTCCGATAACAGGTGCTTGGTACGAAGAAATGATCAATAATAGAAATAAGTCTGTTGTTCGAAGCATGAGTTGGAATGCGGATGGACAAAAGATCTGTATTGTATATGAAGATGGGGCTGTGATTGTTGGTTCAGTTGATGGTAAGGTAACTGCTGTATTAACTAATGTGGTATTGTGGATATTTGGTTAGCTCTCACCTGGTAATTTTCCTTAGAAAACATGCTTAAAACAAAAATAAGATACACCAACTGAATTAAGTACCTGCTTATCTAGTACTAAAAATGTAGCTGAAGTGATGGTTCCAGGGAATATATATTGTAAATTCTTGTTTCCAAAGATGAGTCATTTCTGGCTATTAAGATTACTTTTGTGTAGAAATACTAGTTGCTCCTTCTTAATTTAGTGGTGACAGTTCTCTTTAAAATTTGATAACCTCCTTCACTTAAGTTATGCAAAAGTGGTCATTTAATTTTTTAATCCAGTATTTTTTACGTCACCATTTTTTTGCATGTGCATAGTTTGAATTGTAAAGGTCATTTTAAAGATTAATTTTGCCATTGCTACAGTCCTTGATTGTAATTTGAATCCTTTGCTAAATTGTGAAAAAATGAATGTGTAAAAATAGCATGGTCTTTGTACTTTGTTTCTCTGGGTTTTCTGTTTGCCATGGCAACACATGGATTTTCTCCTTTAAAGGAGAAAAACCCAGGAAACTATGGGTTTTCCTGTGCAGGCTGGCAAAGTTTAAGCCTGAAAAGGGCTGCTTGGGGCTGGGGGCAGGGGGGACCATGTGCATATGCATGCATGCATACATGTGCACATGGCAGCCAGGCAGGGTAGTGGAGAGCAGCTCCCTCCAGGTAAATATGGGGGTAAGGGGTGCAGGCTGCATAGGCAACATGTTGGTATGAAGAAATAATCAATAATAAATATAAGTCTGTTGTTCGAAGTATGAGTTGGAACGCAGATGGACAAAAGACCGCCCCCCCCCCCC